TTTCATTAGCACCTCTAGTAATATATTTACTGAGAAAAATGGTGACGTGTTCAATACTTATTTTACCCACCGTATATGGCATGTGAGACTTAAGCTTCTCCAATAGTCTTAATTTTGGCCCTCAGGCCACACCATAATTTATGTTCACTTTAACATCCAGCACATTGATAAAGATTTGTTTCTTTTACTTCATTCAATTTCACATACGCTTGTTAAAAAATGACAAGAGAAGACAAAATGTAGTTAAACCCAAAAAGTACACTTGGAATTGCATTTTTACTTACCTCCTGATCCATCTTCAGAGCTGGATTTGTGCAGGGACAGTCTAAAAGCAAAACAGCAAATAAAAGAAAGAATTAAAACAGCAAAACATATTTATTATTCATTTTTACAGTTGCTTGTGTCAAAGGCAGTACAAAAAAGAACTGCAGCCCAGTTTAAGAACGTTTAGGCCTTTTTTTTTGGAAGGGAYGCTGCAGTTCTGGCTGCTCGTCACTTGGGGTCAGTGATGATACTTGACTGATWGCAAACCAGGCTCCTGAGGCTTGAAAGGGAGAAGATGGTGGAGACAGGGTGCAGAAATTAATTTGAGATGGTTTAAATGCTAAGTCATTAAAACACTTTCAAAACTGAGAAAGGCTAAGAGGATTGACGGAGGACTAGAAGACGATGTCAGATGCGAGGGGAAAGAGAGACGTGAGAGGTGGATGGACAGAGAACACAGGGCAGACTCAGCCTGTTTGTGTTTCCATTTCAATCCACAGACTGGTTACACCAAAAAATAAAAAATAAAAAAAAGGAAAAAGGAAGGGAAGGAGCAGAGAATGAAAACTGTAGAAAAACTATAAGAAAGACAGACATGGAAAATATTTGAATGACAAAAACAATCTCAAACATACATAAATCCAATGGAACAAAAAGAAAACCCATCAATTTAAAAAACAATGTTTCCAGCTAACAATCAAAAAGTCAAGACTGAGCAGCACCGTGTTGGTTCAGGGCTGACTCATCCTTGCTSCAACCAAAGGTGAGAAAACCACAGTTATTTTTAAAAGAGAGGCTGAGCTTCAGAGGTTTAAGCTCAGAGTGGTGGATGAAAACTTGACGGTGGTGGAAACAGCCAACCTAAACGCTAGCTTCACTAACCACTAATCTGCTGAACAAGACTCTTAGTTATGCTAACGCTAATCTACTAAAGTGGTAGAAAAAAAATTAGTGGAAGCTAACACTAAACGCTCACTAAGGCTGTATCCAAAACGGCAGGCCGGGTCCTCCGGAGGACCC